TGTTGATTTCTTGATTTAGGAGTTTCATATCTCTTCCCAGTGGTTGGCTCAGGGACGACGGTGTGAGTTCTCCTCGATATTGTTTCTTGAATAGTGTTACTTCACTAAGGCATGTTGTGGAGACTTTCATCAAGGTGTAACAAAATTTCTTTTATCACTTATAAGTTCTACTTCTAAACGATGTTGTAAATGTTGTTCAACAACTCGTTATCGCCTTGCAATCCAAGGTTTGCTTTGAGTAATTGGAAACCAGGAAAGACTTGAGGTTACACAACAAGAGGAAACATTTGAGACCCAATAGGAGGAAATTGGACAAATCCAGTTACCTTAGATCTGGTTGTAGAGGGATTTCCACTTCACCAATTGTATCATTTTGCTGATGAGATGGAGATAGATGTGGTTTATTAATCATTGCTTGAGCGGTGATAACAATGATAGCTTCTCGGGTGGTTGTAGAGCGAGTAGCGTTGGATCCAGCCATCACTTGGAAACATAAGAATTAGATATTTAGAAATTCAAAGAATCAAAGTTGGAATGATAATTGATTGGATCGAACACAATAAATCTTTGCTCTCGATTTCGGAAGCTCTTGATTTGGTGACTTATGAAGGTTACAAACTGATGAATCAAAGAGAGAATGTGAAATCATGGAAAATGTGGGAATCAGAAGTTGGTTCCTACATAATGCATCACTGTTCCATTCTAGAACCAAAAATAGATGGAATATCGAAAGTGATAGTCGATTTGAGTTTCCAGCACGGCGGAGATGGGGATGACCTGCAATGTTATCACTCCAACTCTCAAGTAAATATGTGAGAGAGAAGAGTGAATCTAAATTAAATTTGAAACTTGTTACCTGAATTGGCTCATTCTCTATATATAGTGGAAAGAAAATAGCTAACTTGTGATTATTTAACAGTGAACTACGGAGATTCGTTGGATGTATTTAAGGCTTGGATCTCGTATGCTTGCAAGTAGGATGGTTCTTGTATGCTGAGAAGATTCTAAAAGGATTTCAATTCCTTTATTGTGGTTGATCAAGGTTGATATGGTCGGTCCATAACACCTATTAAGCCAACTTTGTTGGTAGCTCTGACATCGAAATTACAGGAGAACATGTTCAAACTCACCTCACATTCATCCATCTTTAAGGAGTGCAGGTTCAAGCCTTATCCCTCTAAATGAGGTTGGTTGTATGGATCAATTTTTTCCATAATGTTATATTCAGGACCATGTTTCTCTCCGAATTATTAATCTATAAATATTTCTTAACAACTTCTATTATATTTTTTGTAGGTCTTCCTTTACCTTTTTTACTCCTCCCCAACTGATATACTCTCTTTACTACAGAATATACAAGTCTTTTATCTACATTCTCAAACCACCTAAGTTTATTTTCCACCATCTCTTTTACTATAGATGTTAATCCAACACTCTCTCTAATATTTTCATTTCATATCTCATCATGTCTAGTCATACCACACATCTAATGCAACATCCTCATATCTTTTACACTAACTTTATTCTCATATTGATTCTTAGTCACTCGATATATTTTCTCGTACAACATCGCATGTCTTATCATAACCACATAAAATTTTCCCTTCAGTTTGAGCGGTATCTTTGTGTAACATAAAACCTCTGAAACCCTCATCCATTTCAACCACCCTACTTGAATTTTATAGTTTACATCCTCTTCTACTTATCCATCATTTTGTATAACGGGCCCAAAATGTTTAAATCGTGTGACTTATGGAATGACATGGTTTCCAACTTTCACCTCTAGATTAGAAAAGTTTCCCTTTTTACCGAACTTATATTCCATATACTCTTCTCCATAGACGAAAGCCATGTGTTTCTAAATCTCCTCTTCAAGTCTCCAACCTCTCATTTAAATCATCATTCGACTCTTCAAGTAGGAATATATCATCTGCAAAAATCATGCATCTTAATGCTAGCTCAGGGATGTGTTTCGTGAGGACATTCAAAATTAAAGTAAAATGGTATGGGCATATAGTTGAACCTTGGTGCAAACCTATTATAATGGGGGAATCATATGTCTCTCTACCATGTATCTGCGCACTAGTCGATACCCCTTCTACATATTTTGGATAACTAGAATATATGCAATCATAACCCCCTTTATTTTCTTGAGTTTTTCATAAAATCTCTCTAGGCGCTCTATCATACACCTTTTTCAAATCAATAAAAATTAAGTGTAAGTCTTGTTGCCCCATCTTATACTGCTCCCTCACATGTCGTACTAGATAGATTACTTTTATGGTCGATCTCCTAAGCATAAAACCAAATTTATTTTCAGTTACTTTAGTCTCTTTTCTTAGCCTATATTCAATCACTTTCTCTTATAACTTTATGGTATGACTCATAAGTTCAATCCCTCAATAATTTGTACAATTTTGTATATCCCCCTTTTCCTTATAAATTGAAACTAAAGTGTTTTTTCTCCATTCTTCCGTAATTTACTATGTCCTCATAATTTTGTTAAAGAGTTTGATGAGCTACTCTCTCTCTCTCTCTCTCTCTCTCTCTCTCTCTCTCTCTCTCTCTCTCTCTCTCTCTCTCTCTTCAAAAAATTTCCACACTTTAATGGGTATGTTGTCTGAACCAATCACATTACTTTTACTCATCATTTTCAATTTTTCTTTTACCTCTTATTTCTGAATCTAACGGTAGTATTATAGTTTCGATCCTCTTCTCTAATGTCCAGTTTGCTAGAGTCTAGTGATATATCATATCCTTCATTGAATATATTTTAAAAATACGTCTTCCATCTATACTTTATATCCTTTTCTTAGATAAAAAAAATAATTTTCTTCATCTTTAACACACTTCACTTTATCCAAATTTCTTGTCTTTCTTTCTCCCCCCCCCCCCCCCCCCCCCCCCCCTTTAGCAAGCATATGCATAGATTTTTCTCCTTTCGTGATTCCTAAAGATTGACATAACCCGTCAAAAGATTGGGTTCTTACTTCACTCATAGCCTTCTTGGTCTCCTTTTTAAGTTTCCTATACTTTTCCCAAATTTCAAGATTTTTACACCTAGACCATTCTTTAAAACAATTTTTTTACTCTAACTATACTCTGAACCATTTCATTCCACCGCCAAGATTATTTATCCCTAAGTTAAGAACCTTTTGATTCTCCCAAAGTCTCTTTAGATATTTTTCTAATATCTCAGGCCATCATATTTTACATATTATTTGCACTTTTTGTGGTTGTTCAAACCCTCCATCCAAGATCCTGTGTTGGAAACTTTCTTAATTTTTATCCTTCAAATGTCACCACTTGATCTGAGACGCCTCTATGTGACTTCTTCTATTTGTTCTCCTTTTGATTCTTACATCATTAACCAATACTCTATGTTGGATAGTCAAACTCTCCTTTTGAAAAATATTTACAGTCTAAGCAAATATTTCTATCTACCTTTCTAATAAGAAGGAAATATATCTAAGAAAATGTCACCTCACTCTTACATGTGATAAGATATTCATCTCTTTTCCTAAGTTAGATATTATCTATAGTAAGATTAAACGATAGCTAAAACTATAAGATAGATTTATCCTCCGCATTTACTTCCCCAATGCCATAGCCCCATGAACGTCGTCAAAACTTCTTGTTACGCTCCCAAACATTTTCATTTATATCCCCTCCTATAAAAATAATTCTCTCTTAGAGCTATATCCTAAATTAAACCTTTTAAATCCTCCTAAAATTTTCACTTAAGATGTTATGCTAGCTCAACTTGAGGTGCGTAAGCACTAATAACACTAAAGGTATCTTAATCCACTACAAATTTTGAGACTATGATTCTATCTCCTACTCTTTTTACATCCACAATATTCTTCTTCCACTCTTTGTCCACAATAATCATCACCTCATTTCTTGATCTAACTTGTCTGGTGTACAAAAGGTTAATATCTAATTCTTTCGTCTTCTCACATGTTTAATTAGTTTTTTGTAGGCACGTGAAATTGATCTTCCTCCTAATCAATGTCCACTATTTTCATAAATTTTTCAATAAGTGTGCCCTACACTCATTTATGAAAATGTGAGAACCCTTGTTTATTTTCACTACATCCATACGACCATGCAACAACCATTGCACTTTTATCATTGTACTCAAACTATACAAACGACCTAGCATTCACATTACTTTGTAATTTTACATGAAAAAGGATTAGTTTTACTTTAAAACAATTTTTTAAAATTAATAACTAATAACTAAAACATAATTGCAAACTAATACAAAAAATAGATATAATTTATCGTAATCAATACTAAATGATACTCCCTCTATCTCAAATTATAAGTCACTTTATCAAAAAAAATTGTCTCAAATTATAAGTAATTTTGTCTTCGTAATACAATAGTAATGACATTTTTTTTAATATACCCTTAAATATTTATTATTTTATTTATTTTTTCAACTCTTTTGATTTCCCTTTCCTATGTAATTACAAAAGACATTATTATAAAATCATATATAATTTTAATTAAATTTTTTAATTAGTATGAAATGTAGTATGTGGAAATTTTATATTATGAAGGAGTACTGGACCAGTCATCCCAACAAAAACTTAATACCTAAAGTATTTGTTGTACCGAAACCCCGCTACCTAACTCACAAAACCTTGTATGCATTTCAATTTTCAAACGTTACTTATAAAAACGGTCATTTTTATTTATGAATACATATCGTTTAAATTCTTTGAAGAAACGTGCAGTCCTAAGGGTTTGAGCCACAGACAATTTGGTGACTAGAGCTTTCTAGCATTTTATACTTAATATTATCAAACACTAAACCAGCAATATTGAGTAAGCACGCATAAAAATGAAAACAAATACCGCCAAAGTTATATACAATCATGGTAAAAGAGATTAAAAACCAAATCCTGCAGTACGAATGTAAGTAATGCAGAAAAAATTATTCAGTCATATAATCCATCTGTCACGGTTTCTAGCACAACAAGCTCCCTCTTCTACACATGTTCCCAGTCTGATGCCAAGCCATCGAAGTGATAATCAGTAGGCTGAATATTCCCCCAATCCAGGTTAATCTCCTTTGGAGTTGTTTTATCCACAGCAGTGTAGAAATCCAGATTAGCATTCAAGCTTTCACCCTCTAATGCATCTTTTGTAGTTACTGTCTCCTTTATTCCTTCACCAGAAAATTCAAACAATTTCTCTGTTGAAGATACAGAACTTGAATCTTCAGCAGCAGCCCTGGACTTAAGAACATGAAATCTAGCCAAAACAGATGTCTCATAATTAGCCTTGTTTTTCTCAAGAATTGGAAAATCCCGACAGAAATTAACCTGGTTTTGATTATCTGTTTCTTGAGGTGCAAACATGTCTGCTATGTCTGATGGTGTCTCCAAAGCATTAGCAATGATGCGTGATTTGTCAGCCCTGGATTTAATAACATTGTATCTGGCCATAACAGAAGCCTCGTCATTTCCGGCCACTTCCTTGTTTGTGCCAGAAACAGCATAATTCTTGATGAAATTATACAAGTTTTGACCACCATCTGCTTCAGGTGTCAACGAATTAAGCCTGTTCATATCAGAAGAAAATTTCAACTGTGAATGTTCCTTTGGAATGGTAGCAGCTAAGTCAGCCAAATTCTGAGCAGAAGAATCAGCGTTTAGACATTTGTTAACTTCAATTGCTGAACTCTCACTCGTGCTTAAACTAGGAATAACTTCAGATTTTGAATGTTGCTCCATGTCTAAAAGCATTGTATAAGATACAAAAGAACATTAGCTTAAAAAACTGAAGGATAAAAATGGGTCAAATTGAGACTAAGAACGAAATGTCAACCTCTTTGCTTGTATGATTGTTTCTCCATTTCAATCTTCATTTGATTATAGCGATTTTTGTAAGAGACGGAACATAATGCAGCTTCAGCCTCAAGCCATAGATTTTTATACAATAGAGTCTGAGACACTGTTGCTTCAGCATCATCATCATCAAAATTCTCACTAAGAATATTCTTTATAGCCTATAAATCAAAAGTAGATCAACACATGATTTTTTCAGTACCGCTAATATCCCACTTTTAAGAGAAAAATAACACTGCGTGAGATATCAAAGTACCTTAGTCATGTTCTCTTCCTTCGTCATTTCTGTCATTTCTGCACCACTGCTTGGGGAAATGAAGCCTGAAGGCATCCAATGTGGCTTCTCAGATCCAAAACAGAGATCTGTCTTTTGAGCAAGCTGATTTTCATGCTCATCTGGTCCTATCTTGGTTAATTGGACCCCCTTGAAACACACATTTGGAGAACATAAACAGGTATGAAAGGGCTAACTAATAGTCACACAAAAAAAAAGTAAAATAATACCGCCTCCTTTAATATCAAGGAACCAAAAAAAAAAAACAGAAGTCTTATCCCCATCCCTCCAAAAATATGAATAAATAATGTCTACATACTGAGTTAGAAGAAAAATACTATAAACATCATCTATAGCTACATATATCTTTTTTCTGTTATTACATTTTACAAAATAAGTATATGTATCAATCATTGTTATATGTTTCTTCTTGCAACAATTCTGATGTTTAATACTTTTAAAGTTGAAAAATACAGTTGCTTGCTTGTATACTAACATATAGACTGGATTTCTTGCTCTGCAATTTACAGTGGTATCAACTATGTTGCATTTCATTATCTTAAAATAGACAAATTATATATTACACGTGAAGATACAGCATGCTAACCTTTGCAGTAGAAAGTTAGTTACATTGAGATGGGTTTTTGACAACCAGTTCTAACTAAGATCCACACCGCAAACAAAATATATTTAAAAATTGAACTGAACTAGATGCCTATAAAATTGACCCCGATCTATCTGCGCAAATGTTGAGCTATATAACAATACATTTTTAATCCAAACAAGCGCCATAGGAAAACACATCAAATATTTCCTTGTCGACTTCATGTTTTTAAAGCTTCAAAAAAGTTCAAATAGAGGGGAACTTTAAAGTAAGTATTCAGTAATTGCACTGTTTGATGCAAAATTTAATATCATATTGAAAAAAGGTCAATTTACTACGATGGCCAGCAAAGGTGTTTATATAAGTCTGGAAAAATTTTGTCTTCTATGGTACGTTTGGATATAAATGAATTTCAGTTTTTGTTAAATTCATATCATCAACCAGTGAGGCAATTAAATAATATAAATTTCCAATCACTCCAGTAAAAAATTATTTCCTATAACCTCTCTGCAGGGCTGTGGACTATTACTAAATAGAAGAAATAAGTACATACCTTTCGAAGTTCACATGTTTCTACAGCACATTTAGAAGTTTCTGGCTGACGGAGAAGAAATGCTTGAGCCAAGTTAATTCGCTCAACATTCTTCAAAACACATGTATTAAGATTGGTGATCACATCTTTAAGGATATTGCAATTTTGTTCTTCCAGCTCACAAGCATCATTTAAACAATGGTTAAGAAGCAACTGTGAAAATTTGTTCATGGTATCAACCAGCATCTGGGCATTTAAGTCCTCAGTTGATACTTTCCCGGCTGTTTTTTCAGATGTAGTAGATGCAGCTCCCACTGAAGAAGACAAAGGCAGGGTATGTCCCTCAGTACGAGATGTACCAGAGGACGAGGATATATTCTCATTGCATCCGGCATCTGTACCACCAATGCATAAGGAATGTAGTTTTTGAGACGCCAACTTGTTTTCCTCTGTAACTTGATCCTCGTCATGAGAAGATCCAGACTCACAAGCAATTGGCTTGGTTGGCGGTACACTATTATCCTTCATTTTGGTAATATCATCTTGATATTGAAGCTCGTAATCACAAGATGGCTCAGAGTGAAAAGGTCCAGCATTCACTACATTGCAATCATCAGATGCAAATCTTGTTTCTGAATTTTGTTTCGAGGAAGAACCCACTGAATATGTTTGCTGATCTGCAATTTGAATGTGCATTTGGAAGCTGCGGTCACATGGCTTTTTGACATTATTTTTGCCATCAAGAAGAAAATTCTGAGGCTCCCGAATAACAGAACCAAAGCATTCATTTTTAGGCACATTTTCAGGAGGTAAAGCCTCAGAAGATTCATAATAAGAAAAATGGGCAGCAGGAGCTCCTTTCCAGCAAGGTGAGTCTACAGAGGGATTACATGGATCACCAACACACTCAAAAGATTTATCAACAGAATTAACACCCTGAATAGCATTGAGTCCCAAGCTTAAAAGACCTGGATTTGGCAGAAGATGTTGAAATTCATGTCTTGCTTTATCTTTATAATCCACAACATCACCTGAATCGTCCATGTCTGAAACCATTGCATTGTTTGATGAGGAAGCTTCGTTACTATCTAGATTCATGCTGAGATTTAAACCAAAGCAAGCAGCAGCCTCCTTTATATCATTGAATTTTTTGTGTCCAGAGCCTCCATCTGGGACAAAAATGCCTAGGTTTAAATCTGTACCTGATCCTGTTATAGATGTCGAAGAAACTGTATCAACTCTTGTTTGTTTATCTTGCTGCCCCAAGTGTTTGTCATATACACCAGTATATGAAAAGTGATGGTCCCCTGAATCTACAGCTAATTTCAAGGGTGGCTCATGATGAGTCTCTAGAGACAATGGAGGAGATTGCAAAACAGATGTATGTGAAAAATCAACCGGCATGGGTTTGGTAGGTCTCCACCAGCAAGATTTATCATCAACACAATCCCCACTAGTAGGCAAGCTATGTTTCTCCCAATCAATCATATGTGGAACCTCGCCATGACTATCAGTTATATCTTGACACCCTGCACTTGTGAGTTTGGTAGTTCTCCACCAGAATGGTTTATCATTAAGAGGATCCACACTTGAGGCCAAGCTATGTCTATCCCAACCAATCATATGTGGACCCTCAACATGACTGACAGTTACATCCTGACACCCTGCATTTAAGAAAATAATAATCATATTTATACTGTAGATGAAAAGTTGATTTTCTCTTTAGAATCATCAAAATAAAATAGTTTTTCTTCCTTGATTGTCCATTTAAGTACATTTTTCAATAACACTTCTCAATCATTGTTTAGTTAGAAACAAAGACAGAGCATTGATCTTACCGGTTAGAAAGAAGGCTTACACTGAAAAATATTTTTAGAAGATGCCATTTCAATTGGAGACAAAAGCCCCATTACAAGTTTGAAACATTAACTTTGTATCACTAGATGACTGTAAGAATGCTAAGCCAACAAAAAAACTGCATGAAAACTACTGTTTCAGATATCTGTTCTCTTATTCGTGTTTGGTTATTTCAAAAAAAGGATATGTTTCCTTCTTCAGTTTTTCTGATTACCAATACATTATATAATCTTTCTCAGTAAAAAATACCCTAATGAGATTATACAAATACCATCAACATCCCATAAAACTATTATAAAGAGTTTCTCAATGGGTGAGGGTAATAAGCTCTTAAAAAAATTTCAAAAACTCTTTTGCATTAAATCAATTCTTAATTCAACAATTCCTGAACTCATACAGATTTAAGAATGAAAATTCACTTTGAGTAAGCAATACAATGAACTCAAGAAATCCAAAAAGCACAAAAACAAGACAGAGCCGGTAAAATTTGTTTGATTCAAAGCAAAACTACCCCCAACTCCAATCTGATTCCCTTTACCATTGCCAAAATCCCCTAATGAGATTATACAAATACTATCAACATCCCATAAAACTATTATAAAGAGTTTCACAATAGGCTAGGGTAATAAGCTATTAAATTATTCAAAAACCGTTTTGCATTTAATCAACTCTTAATTCAACAATTACTGAACTAATATACACATTGAAGAATGAAAATTCACTTTGAGTATGCAATACAATGAGCTCAACTAATCAGAAAAGCACAACAAGACAGAAAATATACCTGACTTCATCCTTTCATCAGCAACAGAGCCAGTAAAATTAGTATTCAAAGCAAAACCACCCCCAACTCCAATCTGATTCCCTTTACCATTGCCGAAATCCGCAAACTGATTAGCAACCATTTGACCAACAAACCCTAACTCATTCGGCTTACTAGTTCCAACTCCAATCTGATTTGCTTTACCATTCCCAAAATCCTCAAACTGATCAGCAACAGTTTGACCAACAAACCCTAACTCATTAGGCTTATTAACCCCAACTCCAATCTGATTCCCTTTACCATTCCCAAACTCCGCAAACTGATTAGCAACAGTTTGACCAGCAAACCCTAACTCATTAGCCTTATTAGCATAATCAGCCCGAGAAACCCCATCCGAGGCGGTAAATCCCGAAAAAGAAGACCAATGATCAGGTACAACCGAAGCAGAATTACGATCTTGAAGAACCCCATATGAATTGAAATATTGATGGGGTTCAACAAGATTAGGTTTTGTCCCATAGTATTGATCTGGATATCTATATGGGAACCCAGTGCGTGCAGCATCTCCTGGATCAATGAATGGAGGCGAAACACCATTGGGAGAAGATCGATTCACACTAAAAGGTGTGGCGAAAGCTGATAAATTCGATGAAGGTGATGCATAATAACTCCAATCGGTGTACGATCCAAAACCCTTCATAGCTTAACGATCTTGATTATGCATGAACAACGAAAATCAATTAATTAACATCGTAAAAAAATCAAAATCATACAAAAAAGAACACGAATTTGATAAAATTTGATATTAGGAATGAATTGCATACCGAAAGGGAACTAGAACGCAAGTGAAAGTTTGAGTATGTCGCTACTGTTTTTTTTTTTTCTTTCTGAGATTCGATGAAAACAAACTCAATCGTTTATATATAATAATTAATAATACAGTATCTCTCTCTGTAGCTATAGCAATTTATTACATATTGAACGAAAATTTGGGGCGAAAATATGTGAGGATCTTTTTTATTAATTTCTACATTTATAAAATTTTAATTAATTTGATCTCTTTTGTTTTAAATTTTAATTACTTGGTCAAACGGTTAATGGTTTTGAAAATATCTTGTTCAATTAAGAAAAAATATATTAAATTGAAGATTAATTTTAATCCCAAAATCATACTAAATGTTTTATTTTAGATAAATTTCCTAGGAACTTTTACTCTATGATTTATATGGTAAATCAACCTCATTTTGAAACTGCTATATGGTAAATCAAACTAATTTTGATATAGATGAACCTCGATGGATTCTTTATTACTTATTATCACGACCATTACAAGATGGAGTTTTTATGGAGTAAAGTCGAAACATTGGACAAAGGAGTTTTTCATGAAATGTATTAGGTGATTTTTGCCTATGTTATAAGGTAAATGACGAAATTGTTGAAGTTATGAGATTTTCTTGTGAACCAATTTTGATTTGCATAATTATACTACTGTTATATAAGAAAAATATTGATGCCTTTTGGAATATCACTACAGAGACGATTACTTTATACGATGTGTTTCAGCTTCATACTCACCATTTGGATACATACTTATTAGTTTTGTTTTGAACTTTGTGAATCTTAGAGGAATTATTTGATTTCATATGCCTCGGGATAACCATGAGTTAGAGTTACAGTGAGCATTGTTATTGTAGGTTGAGATGATCTATTGCACTTTGATGACTGCCATCTACCTATTGACAAATTGAGGAACTGATCATCCATAATATTTTTTTGATAGTCATCAAACATCATGTTGAATGGAAGAGACAAGTCTTACCCACTATTGTAGTGTGTAGAATTGTTGGAGACTATATGAGAAAGTAGTAAGAAACTGGCGCTTTGCATGGACCTAATGAGGTGGGCAAGTTCTTTGAGATGTAATTCCTCCAAGGTGATGTTGAAGACTTGACAAATGGACCTAGGCTCCTTGAAAACCTAGTGTATTATGGATGTAATTTCGTCAATATGACCTTCAAGTTGATAACTTGTAGTGTGATGTAGTTGATAGATTTAGTAAGTGCTTGAGTCGTATAAGAATTGGTGGTGGTAACAGCTAGTGTAGTAATGATTTTGAACCTGAGTTTCTAGGACAGAAATTCTTTTACGTGAATAGTAATGTAAGATCCAAAGTTTTAAATATTAATTAGATTGAATTTATCTATATATGAGTCTATGACTATTTATTGACTTGTCTGTTTGATGTTTTTATGTGTTTAAATTGAGAAGTTGTCGATATTTTTCTCACGTAGAAGTTTGGCCAAAATTTTTTTATCTTAATGTTATCGGGGTAAAATATTATTTTGAGTGTCCACGTATTGTCAGAATTTTTTAAATAGTATACTAACTTTTAGAAAAAATAGACAAAATAATGTGGTTGAATAGTAGTAAAAATATATTTTGACTAAACTTCATCATTTTGACAGAAAACTTGGTGCTCAAGATTAATTAGGTGGCTTGTAATTAATACACATGTGATGTTATTAATTGTGTAATTGAACGATGATAGTTATGTTTTGTGATAATTTATTTATCATGTGTGAGATTAATATTTTAGTATTGATTTTACAAAGACCCAACAAAAATCATCTATTGTTTAAATTTTAGTAGACTTCATTTTGTTGGAATTTTGAACCACAAGATTGGTAAACAATGATGGAGAAAATTAAAATGTGGAGAGTGTCATACCCTAATTTTTATCTCTAAGATTTCACCTGTCTTTGCATCATCTTCATAGCCTATCATGTTGTAGAAGCATGCTTCAATCTCAAGTTTTGATGATGTCAACACTACTCAAGCTCATCACTTGGTTGCAAAAAGTCAAGCCTTTCAAAGTTATCAAGACTATGCAAAGTTATCTTTCAAGTCAAGCTACGTGTGCAAATATTATTCTACATCTGTCAAGACTTAGACACAAGGCTGGTATATCAAAGTTCCCTCTCTAAATTGATATACAAGTGTTCAATACTATCAATTATTTTTGCATATTGCATTGACATGTTTTTAAACTATGTGGAATTGGTATAACACTTTTAACTTAATTATTTTTCAAAGTTTTTACAGTGTTAACCGATTAACCATATGGGTTAATCGGTTAACGCCCTCAAATTTTAAATTCTTTGGGCCAACGTTACAGTGTTATGTTAACCGATTAACCTATATGGTTAACCGATTAACACTGAACGTTCTTTGAAAAATGGCTTCCTTTCAAGTTCAAATTTTGTTTGAATGTTATACCTTTCTATCGTTTTATTCATACTCATTATATACCTTTTTGAATAGGTGTTTTGGCTCATATAAATTCTGATTATTTCAAAATTGAAAAACACCTCCTACAATTTAAAAAAATATATATTCATTGAATCAAATTCACTAAAATTCAAATATTTTCAAATTTTCTCAAAGTGTTCATATTGATCATACTTTTTCATATTCATATCATTGAACACTTGTATTGACATTAAAGAGTAAATTCTGATTAAAGGAGAAGATCAATCTGTGTATTGATATTATTACTCATTTCTCTCAAAACAAAAATTACAGTATTATCTGTGTTGTGACTTGTGATCCAGGATTGTTGGACACAAGGGTAAGTGTCTGCAGGAGAATTGTTCTTGCACACTTGTGGTTGTATAGTTGTTAGAAAGTAGGCCTCACCGGTTGATGGTGTGATAGGTTGTACAATTCTAAAACTATAGTAAATTCTCTTTCATGTTGAAAAGGGACTGGAGTACTCTCGGATTGTGAGGGGAACCACTATAATTCTCTGTGTCCTTTTTACTTTATGCATTTACCGCTTTCACCACCAACAATCATAACCAAGGAAAATTCAAGAATACTGAAAAACCGGAAAAAGTCCCTAAAGCTTAATTCACCCCCCCCCCCTCTTAGGCATACTCTGTACTTACAATTGGCATCAGAGCGGGTTAAGGTAACCTGTTCCTAACGATTCAGTATGGCTTCCGCTAGTACCAACCCGGTTTTCAAAGATGGTGGAAGTAGTAACAAACCACCACTCTTTTCTGGAGAATACTTCGATTTTTGGAAAATCCGTATGAAAGCACATCTTGAGGCTCAAGGAGACGGCATATGGGAAACCGTGGAAAATGGTCTGCATGTTCCTATGAGCGTCATAAATAACGTAGGCACTCCAAAGATAAAATCCTCTTATGACGAAGATGACAAGAAGAGAATCTTAAATGAAAAGAAAGCAATCAAAATACTTCAAAATGCTCTCAGTATGGACGAATTCTTCCGTATATCACAGTGTAAATCGACAAAGGAGATTTGGGACACCTTGGTAGAAACGCATGAAGGGACAACCGAAGTAAAAAGATCAAGACTTAATACTTTAAGTCAAGAATATGAAATGTTTCGTATGCAGCCTGGTGAATCCATTGTTGCCTTACAAAAGAGATTCGTTCATCTAAAAAATCATTTGATTGCTCTCGGGAAGACCTTCACCAATGATGATCTTAACTTGAAAGTCCTAAGATCTTTGACAAGAGAATGGCAACCAAAGGTGACCGCCATCTCGGAAAAGAAAAGTCTCTCAACGATGACATCTGCATCTTTATTTGGCAAACTTCAAGAGCATGAATTGGAACTTGGAAGGCTCGAGAAGCACGAAAGTCAAGATAAAAAGTCCAAAGGAATTTCCTTGAAGATTGAGACAAAGGATGACAAAGACGACGAATCTTCCGAAGATGAGAATTTCATGCTTCTAGTAAAGAAGCTTGGTAAGTTTTTTAATAATAATAAAAATTCCTCTTTTCCTAAAAAGAATAGACATTTCAGGAAAAAGGATGCATCCACATCAAATCAAGAAGTCACATGTTACGAGTGTGGGAAGCAAGGTCACATAAAGTCGGATTTCCCGAAACTCGCTAATAAAGGAAAATTCAAAGGCAAAAAGGATTTCAAAAACAAAAAGGCTTATGTTGCTTGGGACGATAACGAGATAAGTTCATCATCGGAGTCGGAAAGCGATGAATGTACTAATATGGCTCTTATGGCGTCACATCATTCCGATGAAGAAATTGACGAGGTATGCTTGAAGACAACTTCTAATCAATGGTATCTTGATAGCGGTTGTTCGAAGCATATGATGGGAGATATAAACAAATTTTCAAGTCTATCATTAAAGGCCAAAGGATACGTTACTTACGGTGATGATAATAAAGGAAAAATTCTTGGAGTTGGAACCGTTGGTGCACCTCCATGTACAATCATCGAAGATGTCCTTTATGTGGAAGGCCTTAAACACAACCTACTTAGCATAAGTCAATTATGTGACAAAGGGTTCCGAATCAAATTCACAAAGGATGAATGTTTGATAGAACATGAAGTCACCCATGACATCTTGCTAAAAGGTAAAAGATATAATAATATTTTTATGATCTCTTTTAATGATTCTTCCTTGAAGGTAAAGTGTCTTATGGTAAACAACAACGAGGCGCGACTTTGGCATAAAAGATTTGCTCACATTCACATGGAGCATCTAAACAAATTGATAAAGCATGATCTAGTTGTTGGACTTCCGAAGATAAAATTCATCAAGGATAAGTTAAGCGATGCATGTCAAAAGGGAAAATAGACCAAGACAACTTTCAAATCCAAGCAAGTGGTTTCTACATCAAGACCACTTCAATTGTTGCATAT